TTCGGCGAGTCGCATGAAGGGTGCGCTGCATCCTGCTAAGGGTGTTCGGCATCTTGTGCTTACTTCCTTGCGTACGGATGACAGCTGCGTATGAATTAAATTTATTTTCTGGTGCTTTCACTTCCAGAGACAGTTGTAAGCACTGTGTAACTGCCTCGAGGGTGCTTGACCATTTTAACACAACGTAGTGCGATCATCCCCCTTGCGCGGAGCGGGTTCTCCACCCCGCCTTCCGGCTTGTTTTACAACTCCGTTGCCAAGCGACGAAAACCCAACCCCGATGGCAAACACCGGGGGGGGCATCGGACGGGCGTGTTGGCACGCTCAAATCTGCTTCTGTGGTGGTGATATGGAGCGTCGTTGTAGCGGCCTACAGTCTCCGCAAATCTCGGCAAATTAGACCGATACCTAGTGGCTTCTACTGCTTGTGCTCGCCCCCACCGACCCCAATCTCCCGAACTGCGGGTCAACAGCAGTGGCTGATGCCACTAAAAAGCTACTGCTGACATCCCTCCGTTGAAGGAGTTACGGTCCGTGGCGGTGAGCACGGCTGTGACAAATGTTGGATGCCGCTTGGTTCCGGCGTAGATTTCGGACTGTTTTCAGAGGCTGCTGCGACCGTCGATTTTTCAGCTCCAGTAGCAAACCTGAACGTGCCAGCACGCACGACGCCTCTTGATGGGGCCCTCTACTGATATTAGTTCTAAGCACCAGGTTCCTCAGGCGGGAAGGTTGTTTTCTTTCTGCATGTTGGATTTATAGTATGAGAAAATGAGCCAGCGCCAATACCCTCTATTCTGCCCCCCCTGAAGACTTTCAGATTTCGCGCAGCCTTCCTGGGGCTAGTCCTGGATGCCAACAATCTCAGGTATCTGAGCTGCACGAGAGACTGCTGTTTTGTACCCGCCTAGACTACACATCGCCCTGGTATGTCAATGGGACCTGCGTGCGTACACCATCTCAATAGTTTTTGGGTTGTAATTGGAGGTAGACACGAAACAAAAGCAATTAGTAGGTTTCCAGCCCTCAGGCTACACCAGGTAGCTAGGCCAAACTAGGCCTAACCCAACCCTAACCCTAACCCTATACCCAACCCGCTTGGTTGGTGCGCGTTGCGTAGCCCTAGATTGATGTACCGAACTGGAGTGCGCTTCGCGCGCACCAGTCCTGGCGTACGCACGCTGCGCGTTGACGAAGGCACACGCCACGTTAAGACTTAGGGTCTTCGTTTCATCTTGGGCGCGGCATGCGTGTGGCTCTTTCCGATGGTGCGAGTAACAATTGCGTGTTCGGCCTGATGCTCTCCCACATATCCCAGGTATTGACTTCGTCATGGTCCTTGCCACTCTCGGCATGCATGAGGAGTTCTCTGGCGACAAGGGCTGCGACAAGCGTGTTGAACGTGTAACCGTTGCGTGCCTGCCTGTCTAGGTTACTGCTATTCCTCTTCTGTGCTGCTCTCTGCTGTTGGGCTTACAGGTCCAATTGGCATTCCAATATGTAGCATTTTCCTGTTTACAGCTGCAATGAGCGCGCCAGCCCGAACAGCTCGATTTGTAGCCCAACGCTTGGAGTTGGGGAAATGTGCACATCGTAGGGTCGTTTGATTGGTTGGCAAGCGCGTGTCTAGGGTGGGTACAGCTCCCCCGCCTGGTTGCACAAGAGCTACATCTCAAGGTTTCACAAGCAACCGGTATCCGACGCGCACTACATCTAAATGACATTTTTCAGGTAACTGCTATAATTCAGATGTTGCCACGGAGGCATCTTCTCTATCTGAAACCTATATCCAAAGCCCGCTCCGCCTCCACCACTGACCATCGAAGCCGCGGGACAGAAATACGCCCAGACGACCGAGTTCCGATACCTCGGTGGCGTCGTCAACGAACATGGCGACCTCACCCGGGACATGAACCACAGGAGCAGAGGAGCGTGGGCGTGCCTCAGGCGATATGGCCGGGAGCTCTTCGACAGACCGCAAGTGCCATTCCGACTCACTTCTGCCTGCTCCAGGCTGAGGCGATGGAGGCACTGCTGTACGGTTGCGTGACATGGTCACCACTCAGCGGCCACTATCAGACGCTGCGGTCGATACACCACCGACTGCTCCTTCGAGTTATCGGGTACAAGCGCAAGAAAGACACCTACCGGCAGCTCTCTTACGCCCAGACGCTGAAGAGGGTCGAATGCCAGAGCGTTGAAGCCACGATCCGACAACGACGCCTACTGTTCGCGGGAGCATTGGCAAGACAGCCGGACGGGCGACTCCCGAAACGACTGATGCTCGGCGAACTGGCAGGGGGGGAGAAGCGACGCAGGAGGGGACAGGAACAGAACTGGCCGACGTGGGTGCTCGACGACCTGAAGGCATTCGCGGCCGACCACGGATCTACGAAAACCGATCGATGTCGTCTCGGAATCCCGTTACCAAAATGCACTGCACCGAAGTTAAAGTGGCCGGAAGCCGCGAAGGTAGAGGGGGGAGTACCCTGGCATGCGGCGGTGCTGCAGGGAGC